ATAGGCGAAAATAAACAATGATTTCACATACCCTCATCACCATCCACACTGATCACACGCTCACAGTTATTCGATAATGTTTAAATTTTTATGTTTTTTATTAATCAGAATGATCTGAAATTTGGAGCGTGTGTACATCTTAGTGAGGTGCACTTAATAAAAATATGAAAAACATAATTCGTAAAATATAAATTGACCAAAATACTCCCATAAATTATCGACAGTATTTTAGTCAATTTATATTTTAGGAATTATTTTTTTCATATTTTTATTAGGTACGTCTCACTAAGGTGTATATACACTCCAAATTTTAAGTAATTTGGACTTATAAAAAAAAAATGAAAATTGAAACACTGCTAGAAAACTGTGACCGTGTGTATTCATAAAAAATAGAGGAATCTTCAAAAATTATAAAAACAATATTTTACATGAAATAATTGACCAAAATACCCCTAAAAAGTTTTCGAAATATTTTTGTCAATTTAGTTTTCAGGGATAATTTTTTTTATATTTATATTAGATGCACCTCAGTAAGATGTACATACCTACCAAATTTCAGGTAATTTCGATATGTAGAAAAAAAAAATAAAAAATAAAACACTACCGGACACTCGTGACCGCTTGATGAAATTTGGACGGTGATGAGGGTGAGCGAAATCACTATACATTTTCGCCTATATATATAATTATATAATTATTTTGTTCAATTATATGTGCTATAACATCTATTTTATGAGTATGATGCTCATTTTCTTTTGGGGTTATTTTATAAGGAGAGGCTTTGATTTCAGGTTTTTCTTTTAATACCCCTTTCAGCTGCAGACTTTTCTCAAGAGGGTGGATACTATAATTTTTTTTTATAAATTTATTAAATCTTTTGTGAAGAGCATCTAGCAATTTTTGAGGGGAATTCTGTTAAATACCAATTATGAATTTCTTTATTTTCATCAGATAGATAGTCATTCTTAAGTGCTTCTATATCTATTTTAAATCTCTCTTCCTTCTGAAGGGTTAAAATACTAAAATCCAAATCTGAAGGTGTTGGTTCATTATCAGTTGAACTCGGTTCATATATTTTATAGAGTGGTTTATGAATATTATTGTTTCTTCTAGTCAATCCATCTAGTTTGGGTCTCTTAGGTATAGATGAAGTAGAATGTCTAGATGGTGTAGAGATCCTGGATGGGTTTCGTATACAGTCTTCTGAAAGATTTATTCTGGTCTGCCTATTCGAATTAAATTGTATTTCTATGTCTCTGTCGGGGTATTCAATAATTTGATTCTGGTTCTTTATTGATTGGAGTTCTCGCTAGTGGGATTGTACTATGTAAAGACCAGTTTTCAGGAAGAATTATTTGAGACCAACTTATGGATTTGGGTATAACTGTATTAAATTTTTTCATATTAGTTTGAAAAAATATTGTCTATCCTTTAGTATCCATTTGCAAGCCATTTGGACATAATGTATTCATGACTTTATAGCATATTCTATATACTAATGCTATGTTTTGTGATCCAAGGTTCATATCAAACCTTTGGGTTTTTATGTTTAAAGTAAGAACCTTTAAAAGATTAGGGTCAGTTAGAGAAACAAAGAAATTTGGGAAACAGTTAAAGTATATAGGTCCATTACAAAGGCTGGATTCGATTATTCCTAGTAGATAATCTGAGAATT